AATTTTAGTGAAGATACATGTATCAGAATGCCTAAATTTGTACCCTATCTACTCGTCCATTATACATGGAAAAATGTTTTTGAAAATTTTTTTGGTCTCAGCCCCTTAAATTTCTCCATTTGTCATGAAAAGACTCTCTGCCCATCACCTTTTCTTTCTGAACATTTCTTGTTACTAAAAGTGAATTTTGTTTACTCAGTGTGTGGCGAGGTTGAAGCACTGCTGGAGATGATCCTAGGAGCGGAGGCGAACCCATCGATGTCGGACATTCATGAACTTTATTCATTGAACTTCTGGTACTGAAGGCACTTTTAGCAGGGAGATAAATCATGCATGTTTTGGTTTCAAGACGGATCTCACATTTTTACTTTTTATAATGGTAAGAATTCTTCTAATTTCTCAATGTTTTGAATACTAAACAATATCATTTTTTATTTATTATAACATTTATAAAGGGAACCTAACTTCAATATGCTGATAGTTTGACATGCCAATAATAAAGTATATGCTGCTTTCAAGTTTTCAGATCTTTGCCTCTCTCATAATCGAGGACACAATGTAGCACACGTGTAATATTGGACAACTAATTTTTTAAATCCTCCTTTTTCCCCTCTTCTGGTAGTATATGTAAATCGGATTTGTGTACTTGCCGGTTTTTCGTTGTAAGTACAGCGCTTGAATAAGCCATTTTTTAAAAAAAGCTCAAAGGCCAAGAACTTATGAGTCTTGGTTTCCTTAACTGACTATCAATCAAAACTGTATGATTTTTTGGTGCTAGAGCCTTTTCAAGAGCAATTGCTTCACTTTTAAATGACGGAACTACAATAATATCACATATTAGGGGGCTTTGCCCTCTGGCCGCTCTGAGGCCCAACCCTTGCACTGTACACCGTGACATAGAAATGGTGGATTTCTTAGATAACTCGTCCTACTGTCAACATTTTATGGATTGAAAGCTCTCAGTATAATCAATTCAGCTCGCCCCTTAGCCAGGATGAATTCCAAGTTCCACGTCCGGCTCCAGCACAGAAAGTGCACATCTGCATAATACTTCCATACCTATTTTAGCCCTAAGGGTAACTTCAGGACAGCACCCCGTAGATCTCCACGATTTTCAGGGCCTAGGATTTTATAAAACAGTAAGACATATTAACACCTCAAAATTTTGTATTTCATCTGTTATCTTTACTGTTTCATTTAATTGCTTTTGTTTAAACATGATTTAACTTGTCTGCATCTTGTCTATTCTGAAATATTTGCTAAGTGAGAGGCACGAGTATTTATAGGGTTTGACAGCAACACAACAACAGTGATCGTCTGTCATTTACAGCTTCTCTGCATGCTGTGTCACCTGATGAAAGTAATGGATCCAATGGAAATAAAACTTTCAAGAGTTGCAAAGTTTCCACTGTCTTAATAAAAATTGCTGAACGTTACCTTGAGATGTTATATGATGAAATCATGTGAATAGGTATTTAATCCTCCTTAAGTAGTAAGCCGCAGTGTGAGTTTGGAATTTTATTATCGTTTTTCATATCTTTCTGCCAGCCATTGTTTAATTTTCCCACCTTATTTTAATGGTTTAAAGAGATCATGAATTTTCGTTTTCTATGTCTTCATGATTTTCGTGTCATTCATTTTCAAAAAAATAATTTACAAAAACTTTTGTCTACAGGTGTTTCAGAGAGGCAAATTTTCGGTTGAGAATATCATTTCAACATTAAAATCGAATAATGTTTCATCTTTGCCACCTGAAGGGCCAAAGTTGACAAGCTTGATTCAAGTTGTGGGTGCTAATCGGCCAGGCTCATATAAGAAACGGCTGTACCTGTTCATTAAGAGGCATCGAGAACAGATTGTAAGTAATTTAGTTAGTAATGGTAGTGATGAATCACAATTTAGTGTAAATCCTCTATGTCCCAATAAGGTTGGTGTTGAAAATAAGGAGTCTGTTAGTCAGTCAGAAGAAAGTGACAAATTACATTTCCATGTTCCACCTCCTCATGGCGTATCTGACAAAAGTGAGGAGTTGGAAGAGTATGAAATAGTGAATTTAGGTATAGATCATGTTAATTTTGAAGAGGTTGCAGAAAGTCAAATTCCACCAAGAAAAGTAAAGTGGAGTGGTGAATTTCAAGAAATCGGAGATTTTTCGTTACCTGAGGAGCGATGGGAAAAAATTTGGAATTCTCAAGCAAGGTCATTGATACCACATAAGTACTCGTCCGTTTTACTCGATGCACTGGGTCGAGCAAACTTATGTAACTGCGTTTTTTTGGTAAAATCAACCAGTAAAAATCAAAATGGTCTAAGAATACTTTGTTACTGTGCATATCCTAGTTGCAGTAAAGCTTTTAAAATTTTGAGTAGAGGATTCCCTGAACCTGGCTTCTCATTGAAATTTTCTCTTTTATGCAAAGGGCATGAGTGTCATGTAAGTGATAAAAAAATTTTCAGGCATGTTAGTGGTTTCATTCGAGATGAGGTAAAAAAATCTCTTTCCTCTCAAAGACCTTTCAATTATCGCCGGGAACAAATTAGGAACAACAGTGAGGCAGTCATTAAAAATGGAAATGTTTGTGCTGTCAGACCCTCAGAAACCATCAGAAAAATTTCTTCAGAATACCTTGCCAGGCATGACACTGACAAGGATGTCCTTGTCAATGCATTGAATGATTGGAAGGACGGTATAATCAATCACATTCCAGATGATGATTCTTCTGATCCTCAGAAACATATTTTCTTACGAGAAGTTGCTGCTCCGATGCGTGCATATATGGGTAGTATAGAGGAGCTGCAATTATTTGAGACGTCCATAACATTGAATTCCCTCGAGTCTAAAGGTCCAGTGTTATATTTAGATGCCACTTCCTCTGTGGTCCAACCATATTTTATTCGTAATGTAACAAATTTGAAGAGTTTCTATTATGTCCTGTGCTTTAAAATAGGAAATAGAATAATCACTCTGGCCAGCTCTGTGCTCTCTCAGCATGATAGTTGTCGTATCACTCAATGGTT